CAGTCCCTGTTTTTATTTACTTAATGTACTTTACTTATTTACTAGCTAATGCAGGAATTCAGAACACACTAGAGGATGGCCTGATCCTGTCCTTTCCTTGTGGGTGCTGCCAGCCTGCAGACTCAGACATAAAATGCTGAGTGCGCACACACTGAAACAGGCGGTTGGAGAAAGTGAGTGAGTGAATGAGCGAGCAAGTAAGGCAGTGAAAGAAAGGCGTGTTTTTGTGTGCTTGTGGATCAAGAGGTGCTCTACTCTCCCTGAGGGCTTGGCCTGTGTTTCAAAGGCTTTGGCCAAGGCCTGTGTGTAGTACTGCTGCTGAAAGCCTCCTGAAAGCTAATGCTCTAACTAACAATACACCTCTAAAGCCTCCCTCTCTTTCTTTCTCTCTCTCTCTCTCTGTACGTATCTCTCTCCCTCATGACACGTGGAGACAATGCCTTTTGTCTCTGTTTTGAAAGCAAGTACAGTAGAGGGAGTATTGGAGCTTGATTATGCTCACCTAGGCCCTCGCTGCCTTATGCTAATCTCGCATACATCTCTGTCTCTCTCCCTCTCTCTTATTTTTTTAAAATAACATTCACTGCAAAAGGAAAGAGAGGGAGAGAAAGAAATGGGGGGGGGGAATTAAATGCATTTAATAAATGCCTGACTTCAAATGGTTGGAGGTTTTTTGGTCTCCTCTATTACAAGGCCCATTCAGCTCCAAATGAAAGGCGGTGGGATGGAGGGATTGGGGGGTGGGGGAGGCTAGGAGAGAGAAAATCATTTATGGTGTGAGACAAAGCCGAATGAAAATATAATTCGGCATTGTGCACGGCCTTTTGTCAGCAGCCGTCAAGCGGCTAATGGCGACGCTTTTGTTTTCGCGCAGCAGCTCCCGAAACCGCAGTGTCGAATTGCACGGCCGCGTAATGGCCCGCCTTTGTGGTATTAGATTATAGGGGCAATTAACGGCGTCAAACCTTAACAACTCGGCATTCAGCCGGGCCGTCAGGGCCGCCGCCGCTGCCGCAATGGAAGGTGTTATAACTCCGGTAATTATTACGCCCGCAACTCCGAAATGTCAATGAACGTGTGTATAAAATAAAGTGTATGGGTTGTCGGTGGCGGAGAATGGGACGCGGAAGAGGGATTAATTATGGGGTTGCGTTTCGGGAGCCGAGCCCTGGTGACAAGCGGCAAATTGGCGCGCTGCCAAACGCCTGGCATCCTACAGCAAATCCCGCCCCCACCCCACCTGAATATCATCCTACCCGGCTTAACTGAGCTGGCACATACATACAAACACGTGTGCATGCAGCCGTCCAGCCCGACCCTGGTTCCACGAACCTTTCTCAGTTTGAATAGACCCTATCCCGGTGCGGTCTCTGTTCCACTACTTTCCACTACTCTCACTCTTTGACTAACTGGTGCAGTCTAGGGGTGGGCAATATGACAATATTTACTGTTATCTTGGTAAATTAAATATCGAAGAATCCTATTGTGATATTTCAGTCGTATTTCCCATCCCTGTTGCAGTCTGTTCTGAAGTAGTGGATATGTAACTAGCTTACCACCCCCCCCCTCTGTTATGTTGCAGTTGTTTTGGTTTGCTAGTGAGTTAGTAAAAACCAACTGCTAAAATGCTTGATGTGATAGTAGCGAAAAGCTGAAATCTAACAAATCGCAACTACCGTAAACTACATAAATATAACCTATTGACATTAACTCCATACTGTCATTTCACTTCAGTTGTACTATGACTGTAACATTAACTATTTTTACATATGTACATTTTTGATTACTAATCACTGTGTGGCAAATTTAGTTCCAACTAGGTTAATTAAAATAGCTGTTGGCAACATTAACGTTACCAGGATCTCTAAAGAACCATACAAGCACTCATACAGAGTTGTGTGACTCTTGTGACATTTTGTTTTTAATTTTTTCGAATTCTTGAAGAGAAAAGGAGATTAATTTTCATGACAGTTCAGAAGTGAAGTTCCCTGCAAATACTTGCATCTGAATTGCACATACAGCAATAGTGAAACTTTAAGTGAGTATACCAAATCTTAATCCAGCAGTATACTTTGGAAGACAATGACATTTTCAAGCAAAACCACATCTTTTTGGCCAAAACAACACAGCAGTACAGTTTGTACAGAGCTTCTAATCACCGAAGATCTCCACTGACTGTGATTGGTCCTCTACACAAAGTCTTTTAACGATGCTGAGATGTAGTTCTCTTTACGTGCGCTTACAACCTTGTTGTCAGATTTTGTTTAGTTCTTACAACGTTTGAAGTGAACTGCCAGCTTTAGTGGTTTACTAGTGGGTATAAGGCAAAAACCTGCATATCACGTAGCCACCACCTCTGATTCAGAAGCTCTAATTGGAGAGCTCTCGATTGCTTGAACTTTTTGCCTGAACTCACTTAGGTAGCCTGCCAGATCTCCTGTAGGGAACCGTATATCAAAATGGCCTGGCACTTAACACATTTATCATATTTAACCTTCGTTTAATAGCAGCCAGACATCGCCATCAGAGATATGATATCATCTTCGCTCAGTGAAGCCCGGACTTGCCTGAAGTTGCCACGGCAAACATGGGCCTGATAGAATGGCTCCGCATGACTCACGCCAATCCAATCCAGCGTCGCATCTCCACTCCAAGCGTGTCGTCCACACATACACACAGACAGACATATACACACAGGCTAAGGGAGTGTGTAATGTTGTCTCTTTGTCTCTGTCAGTGCTTCCTCACCTCTTTCCCCTCCACTAGAGGGATTTCGTGATTGAGTGTGTTAGGTTATGGATGGCTTGTTTGATCACGATACGGCGGTTTACAATAAAGGATTGGACAAGGCCCGCTGCTCGCGCTCCTCAACTGATAACCACACGCCTCCGGCTTCAAGCGAGAGAGACTTTATCCTTTTCTCAGGATGAGAGAGATAGAGTGAGCGAGGGAGGGAGAAAGAGAGGGAGAGAGAGAACAAGTGTGTTCGTATTTACCACCAGTCTTGTTTACAAAGTCAAATCAGACCTTTACAGATTTAATTGGCCACTGACAGCGCTCTTTCTCTCCCTCTCTCTCACTCTCTCTCTCTTTCTCTCTCTCTCCCTCTCTCTTTATCTCTCCCTCTTTCTACTCCTCCTTACATGCCCCTCAGGCTTTGAATAGATAGACTGCTCAAAATAAGCGCACTCAAGCGTTGTCTCAAAACAAATGAATGCAAATGTCATCTTGGACCGGCAGTGGGCTGGGAAGTTCTCGCAGCTTTCTTCCGTCTTTTTTTTTGTTTTATGTCCCTCCTTCGTGAAGAAAACGCTGATGAATGTATGTGTTATAGGGATTGTAATTCGGGCTCATATATCTGGCTTCAAGCAGCCATTGCCTGTAAATAGCTTTATTTTTATTGAGCAGTCGCAGAGACATGATCAGTTATGGCCCTTGAGCAGTAAATAGGAAAATAAATGGGACACCACGGAGCAGCTAAGCTGCGCTATGTGTGTGCGTGTGTTCTTGTGAATGATGCTGGTATTCGAGGAAGTGGTTCACAGCCTGCGGTGGAGGAAACTGCTAGTCCGCTAACTAAAAGCTGCCCAAACGCTCAGTGTGGCCAGGTCCGCTGGCTTGAAGCGGTCAGTCAGCTCGTCCAGGCGGTATGCCTTTGGGGCCTTTTCCAAATTACGAAATCGCAGCTTTGTATGTACTTTTCTCTCTTTTTTTTTCTCTCACTCTGATTCTCTCTGCCTCTGTCTCTTTCTCTCTCTGTCTTTCTTTCTGTCTTCTATCTTTTTCTTCCCTTCACTCTCTCTCATTATATTAATCTCTCTTCTTTCTCTCTCCTTGTCTCTTTTTCTCTTTCTTTCCCTCTTCCCTTCTTTTCTCTTCTTCTGTCTTTTTTCTCTGTCTTACTCTCTATCGCGCTCTCTCTCTCTTTCGCTTCTTATCTTTCTCTCGTTTTCTTGTTCTCCCGTTACTCTTTGTTTCTCAGTCTTTCTTTCTGTCTTTTCTTCTCTTTCTGTCACTCTGTTTCTCTCTTTCTCTCCCTCCCTCTCTTTTTATCTCTCTCTTTCTCTTTCTTTCTCTCTTCTCTTTTTCTTCCCTTCACTCTCTTTCATTTCATTCCCCTCTTTCCTTCTTTTTCTCTCCTTGTCTCTTTCTCTCCTTTTCTCTTTCGTTCCTTCTTCCCTTCTTTTTCTCTACTTCTATCTTTTCTTTTTGTCTCCATCTCTCTCTCTTTCTCTCTCTCTCACTTCTTATCTTTCTCTCATTTTCTTGTTCTCCCCTTTTACTCTTTGTTTTTCTGTCTTCTTTCTTCTCATTCTCTTTTCTTTCTGTCTCTCTCTTTTTCCCTCTCTCTTGTTGTCTGTCTCTCTCTCTCTCTTTTTCTCTCTCTCTCTCTCTCTCTCTCTCTCTCTCTCTCTCTCTCTCTCTCTCTCGGCATATTTGCAGTAAGATAAGCATCACTCCTCTCTTTTTAACGCCTCGCTGTCATCGGGCAAATTGCACTCTCTTTTCCAGACTGTTGCAAGCCATTTCCTGATGATAACGATCTTATCAGATTGTTTGTTATTTTTGCCAAAGACTCGATTCTCTAGATAGCACATCATAATAATATGTTTATTGAAGTAGTTCTGAGTAGATAAGAGTTCATAGCCAAAAGAAAATTTGATCACCGTGATATATGTATATGTACTTTTTTCTCTCTATTTCTTTTTTGGAACAATGGCCAGGTTTATTACAATGGCGACAGTGTGCTGTGCTTTTGAGTCAACAGAACAGTTGTGTTGTGCACGCTTCAGGAATGGCAGAGTTGGAGTTCACTTATTAAAAATAGATTGCTTTCCTTTTAGATGTATGAAAGAGATAGAGAGAGGCGAAATAAAACATTAATTAATACAGACCCACCTTATTCACTCTCTTATGGTCATTGTGTGCATGAGCGACATACAGACACAGATAAAATAATTCAATTTGCTCAGCATCTTTTCTGCTCTGTGATTGGCCAGGTGCCAGTGTCCATGGCGATGATGACCCCTCAGATGATCACTCCTCAGCAGATGCAGCAGATTCTCTCCCCTCCACAGCTGCAGGCTCTGCTCCAGCAGCAACAGGCCCTAATGCTGCAACAGGTAACACACTCACACACACGACCTCACCTTCGCATTCAGTCTCACACGCTCAGACACACACAGTCAAAAAGATGGAGGAACAGAGTAAATTTTACAAACCAAGTTAAAACTCTCTGTGCTCCTGGGTCACAGCTGTGCAACCACTCAGTTGTAGTAATATGGAGCATCTCTGACATGGTGCAGAAGTTGGTTTTCAGTTGAAAAGATTATCATTTTTAGCCACAACCATGCCAGCCTTTACAGCCTGTTGTTAAACATGAAACTAAAGCGTTACTAAAGCGTTAATGCGCTAAATTATTAACGACACAAATTTACTTATTTTTCCATTTTTGACCCTTTGAACCATCCATAGTTCCAGCCTGTCTGGAACGGCAGTTTCCGTTGATGGTTCTCTTGATAAAACTATTTCCAACTACTGCCTTATCCTGAGTTTATTTATCACTAAAGTTTGTCGTGTACAAAATATTATTTATAAGAAAAACACAGGGCTGCTGTAGGCAAATCAGTAATAACAGTAATATTAACACTGGAGGACACCTTTCCACAGACTATGCTGGACAGTGCTCAGGGAGAACTAAGCATAAATCAACAACCTGCAAACCTCACAGTCTAAGAAAAGCAACAGCAAACTGGAAAACTACAGTTTCACTCAAAGCAAGACGTAACATAGCATGAAGCTGCAATCACAGAGGAGTTGGAATGTGCGGCCACTGTTGCTCTCACTGGACATCAGTGTTGAAGAAAAGGTGAAGGCAGTTTACAGTTTTAATGTTCAGGGTGAATTATTGAAGGTAGTAAGTACATTCTTATGAAGCGAATATTGTCTGCTTATATAATTCTAACAAAAAGTCTTTACAGTCAAAGCTAGTAAGACAAATGTAATGAGTTGCGATTAACTAGACAAAATAAAATCATAAATAATAATTTGAATCATTTGACAGCCATAGTGTAGTCTGTTATTTTATGGTGTTTTTACTTGCAAACATACAATGACCACTGAGATACATGGTTCTAAAAAATTGGTTAGGTGGCTCAGACTCTATTTCAGAGAACTGAAACATACTAGACCAAAAGCTCTACAACACAGGGCATAACCAGAATAGATGTGCTAAAGAGCAGTCAGCTGTTTATCCCACTAACTTCCTTTAAATAAACTGAACTGCTTCTCAGACCAGCTGGGCTGACTAAAGGTACAAGTCACTGAGTCGCTTGGAGCTGGAAGCTGGGTGTGCAGTCTTAGCAGGTCAACTGACCACTCTCTTGATGGCCTAACGAAGATCATGATAAAGTTCACACATATAAGGTTTACTCACACAAATTGAGAATTGGTGGGGGGCTAAATATTGTTGTAGGTTTATTTACAGCTAGCCAGGTTGTCCTACCTTTGGCCTGTTTGCAACACATACACGTACAGTGGCAAACACTCATTCCCCTCAGTATACACACACATCTGAGCTCTTTTTAAAAGTTTTAGTTTCATGCTGCTTGAGTGTTCTCCCACACCTCAGCTTTAAGCCGTATTAATTGAGACTCTTAGTGAACGAGGCAGCTTTATTCAGTTTCATTACACATGCTTTCACTGTGAATTAGTTCAGTCAGAGTTACTCTGCCAACTCGGTGCAGAAGCTGAAATTTGTGAAGGAAGTCTTAAACCGATACTCTTTATTACGAACACTGTTCCCTGGGTTTTTATAGAAGCATATAAGCATGTATATGCTTGCAGTAAATGAAGATGCCTTATATTTAGGTGCGATTTCTGTTAAAGGAAGTTTATGTATGAGGCTGTTTAATGTAGGAGAGTAGTTGAAACAGTACGGTTTGATTGCATCCTTATAGACATACACAGAATGATAAGTCTCATGGCTTTGATGTGCTCTGGCACCGTGTCTTTATATGCAGTGTTTATGAGGTCGGGCGACGCCTCCTTTGGCTCATGCATGTACACGTTCGCCTGCTGCTAGCCATGGAAAGCTTATGTTAGTGAGACAGGCATTCTCGCCTGCCTCTTTCTTTCTTCTTCTTCTGTTCTTTGGTAGAATCTCAAAGTGCTCCACCTACTCCCTTTATAGTGACATAGGTTAAGGGTGGATGATATGGCAAAGGAAAGTACTGTGCAAAAGTCAGAGACCTTCCTTCTTTTGTTTAATTTCCAGTCGAAATCTTTTCATGAGATATTTCTAAGGAGAACTGATAAAGTTATATCCACGTGCAGGAAGGATAAAGTCAAAGTCAAATAAATGTAAAAACAGTAGTTAAAAAATCTTTAAAAATACAGAGAGAATGGAACTCCTAACAACCATGCAAGACTTGGTAAACCATCTAAACTGTCACCATCAGATCGTAACGTACCAATCAGCTGCTTGTTATTATGCAGTTTATGCAGTTATTTTGCCATGATTGTTGTTGTTTACAGGCTTTCTAAGGTGGTCTTTTATAATACAGAAAAATGAAAAAAACTTGACACATACCACACACACACGTGTGTGTGTATACATACATACATAAATATATACATTAAATATATACATTATTGTGGTGTAATCACCATATCAATAACATCATTGTATTGCCACCCTTTATTGAAGGTAGTGAAATAGTGGCTTCTGTATATAGTATGGTACATGTCCAGTTGGAACCCATTTGGGATACAGCCTCTCTTCCTCTCACTTTCTCTTTACTGAAGCCTCTACTCTCTCACCCTGTCGCCAGGGGGCCGGGGTGTGGCCCCTGCACCGACAAGAAGAAACAAACACCTCTGTCTCGCACACGTCTCTCAAATATTTAACAACTCTCCCTAAGCTCTGCCCCACAACCACTTAACCCCACAGAAATTAGGTTATCCTGCTCTGCCCCTGATCATTACACGGACAAACTCACTCAAGTACCCCAACACACATACATGTACACACAGAATCACAGAGTGTAGAGATGACATGTTGGTATAGATGGTTATCAGTATCAGGCTGGTATCAGCAGAAAAGGCTGGATTGGAAATCGGAGGAAATAAGATGATGAATCTGGTCCAGTTCTGTAACAGATCCACCCTGTAATAGCACACATTGTGATGTTGTTAGCTGTGTTCTTTATTCCTGTGGGGTTGTAGATTGTTCAAGAGCATGGTAGCCTGCTTTTAGATGTTTCCCTGGGAAACCTGAGTACAGCCTGAGACCTTTCTGTCCTTTAAGTCTGACCTGAACCACATCATCAAGTTTGGAATCAGAATCCCACCTGAGCCCAACAAAATTTGTCCGAACTTGACCCGACCTGAACCACAACATCAGGTTTGGAGTCCAAAATTGACCCAGGCCTTACAGATTTTTGTCTGAACTTGACTCAACATTAACCCCACATCAAGTGTGGAGTCTGAACTTGGCCCGACCCACATTGTCAAGTTTTGAGTCCAGCACTCTTTCACTCTTTCAGTGCTTTCAAACAACATCCCAAATGTTTTTTATTCTAGATAAACTATGCTGTTCTCATGCTGTGCAGTGCTGATGTAACAAGATGTTAGCCTTTACCTGTTTCATCCTAAAACTCTGTTTCTAAACATAGATGTAACATAAAAATGATTTTTGGCTAAATTAACTGTATATAAATGTTCCTTTGGCTGCACTAAACTGTACTTTCCTGAATTGATGTGCTGTTTTATGTACCTGCATCTATTTTCTCACAATCACTGGCTTAATGGACCTCAGTGCTACGTTCAGTCTGAGTGGGTAACCCCAGATTAAAACTGTTTTAAAGTAATGAAAGTAGAGAGTAAGGAGAAAGTAATTTAGTAAGGAATTAAAGTAAAACTAAAGCAAGGGGAAATGCAGGATAAAATCTGTTCAAAGTTGGGCTGTGAGAACCCAAGCATGAAATTTTAACCCAACCTGACACATGTTTGTGAAATGACATTAGAACCTGACATGAACAGTTGGGTTCTGTCAGGTTTGTTCAAATATTTCAAGCTCTAGTTCATCTTAAGTGAAGTGCTTCAGCAACAATACCTCTTTTATATTATTTTAAACGTCAGAAGTTTTTAAAGAAGAAATATCAGACTGGTATCAGTATCGGTGAAGTAATATACACATACGTAAACACTCAACACTCAAGATGTGAACAGAATTGTCACTGATGAAAGAGGGGGTAGTGAAAGAGAGTTGTTTTACATTAAAGAACTTGAAGAACAGTGGAAGTTACAAAAGCCAGTGGATGTTATAATCAGCTGAGGAGGAGGAGGAGGAGGTTGCTTCAGGCAAATCGAAATTGTGTCGAGAAGATCTGACGAATTTATCAGGATGGAAAAGCGTGCTCGCTCGCAGAAATCAAAATTCAGCTGTTTAATAGCAGCTCTTATAGAACTCTTCTCGCTCCATTTTTTAACGAGGAGCATGGATGCAGCGTGTGCATTTTACCTCACCAGTAAAAGGCAGCGCTGTTTAACCAGGTGTTCCGCTATGCTGAAGCTGTTCGCTCTCTCGCTTACATTCACACACATATATGCGCACACACAGTGGTCCATTTCTGCTCTCATTCTAGTGTGTGTGGGAGAGAGAGTGGGCTAAAGCTTTTTTTCCTGTTGTGAATAGCCATACACGTTTGATTATACATACTGCATGCGTATGTGTGTGCTTATACATGCACGAGTTAACCTTTACATCCCGCCAACCCTTAATTACAGCCCAGCTGATATATATTTTTCCACTTTTTTCTGCGCTCTCTGCTATTAAAGAAAGCCAAGGTCACAATAATGGGAATTTTAAGGTGAATGCCTTCTAAAGGCAGTGCAGTTAACGTGAAAGGGGTCCAGTGAATCAAATCATTAAAAAAACCCTTAATTATCCTTTTAATTATTCCCCCAACCGTTCGTCTCCACACGGGCATGAATTAAGAGGGTAATGAGCGGGTGAGTGGGCGCGGGGCCGGCCTGATGGCAGCCAGGCGTGGATTTGCAGCTCCGCCCGGAGAAATGGCCAACATATTGGATCGGTGTGGCTCCAGTGCGTTAAATAGAG